TGCAGAGCATCCAGCACCGCGTCCTCGTCGCCACCTTTTATTTTTGTTTGTGGTTCTGCTGTCACAACATAACCTTTGCAAGCTCCCATCCACCTGAAGTGAAGTGTAATCTAATTAGTCCAATTTGGACTGCTTCTATTTGAATAATTTAGCGTACACCTGCAGTATTCATCAATCATTATTATTTTCAATTAAGTAATTAACTCACAGGTTTTCAGAAAGTTTGAAGTGACAAAATTTCCGTGGTTGAAGTCTCGAGTGAGACGGGGCGAGCGGCTCTTTCTGCACTCGCAGACACTGGCGTTACCAGTAATTGGTATGAGCAGTGAGAAGTGCTGATGATTTCCTGAAGAATTTACTTCTTTAATGGCAAACCAGAAATCACACGTCTGCTGTACAACAGGCCTAATTAGCGCATATGGTCAAGTTTTCACTCGTGGCTCCTCCATCACCCAACTTCACCTCTAAGAACTGGCTCCCTTTGATGATAATTGTCGTTACTCTTAGTCAAAGTCATTAGCTTTTAAAGGAAAGAGCAGCTCGGAAAGACCCAGGCGCGGGTGGTGCTGGGGTCGAGGGCTGCGGAGACATCAGAGGGTTTGGCTGGGACCCTGCTGGGAGCTGTAGGTTTGCCTGGGCGGGAGCGCAGCTTTCCCAGCTGGAGGCACAAACAGCTCCCACTTCGCTTCTCAAGTTCACTGAAAGCACCAAAAAAATCTTTAAAGCTTGCAAATGAAAAAAAAATCATAGAGATCAGGCTGTAATGTGCTACAGCATGCTGGATTGCGTAGCGATAACAGGGCTGCATTACAAAGGAGATCTGCTATCATAAGAACCAGAAAAAAAAAAGGTTATTTACACTGTGACTCTCACCTTTTAAAAAAAAAAAAAAGTGTGAAGAATATCTTCACACCTGTACTTCAGTTTTCAGTAAAAATAGTTAATTATTATGCTGATGAATTTCACAGCTTCATTAAAGAAACCTGATTTTAAGATAGTGCTCGCAAGCCCCCCATAGCATGCCCCAGCGGCGGGGGCTCGGGGGCATTTAACAGAGCTGTCTGTCGGTCCAGGGCGCCTGGAGGAGACGCAGAGAGTCTGGCCAGCTCTGCGGCACGCGCCTCTTCCAGCTGGGGCTTCATCCCAGCAGGATCAGCTCCTGCTTTTCCCTGGGCTTCTCAGCAAGGTGCCCCGGCTCCCCAGGGCAGGGCTCCTGCCCGTGGCTGAGCTCCCATCCCAGAGCTCCCATCCCAGCCTCTAGCAGCCGCTTGATTTCTCCCACAAAATCCAAGCTGTAGACGCAGCTCAGTCATCGGGGGACGCTTGTATCAGGACAAGCACGAGCGCCTGTGCACACACGATGAGCAAAGAGACCAGGGCTTGTTTTTAAGCTCCCCAGGATTGACTCTAAGTTGGAAATCCATCTCTCACTTCTCGCTATGACTCAGTTTCTGCTGTGGCCCGAGGAGACCAGGCAGCTGGGTCTAGCCTTTCAAGCTCTGGGTGTCAGCGCAGCAGCTGAGAAACGAGGAGCTGTTGCAGGCTGGGATCCAGATTTTATCAAAAGAGGAGCTACAGCTCCATGGAGGAAATTCAGTACATGCAACCGGAGCAAAGACAGAGACAACCAGGGCCAAGTACTACCCCCACCATTAGAAAACATGCCTCCCTCGCTGCGATGGCACCGGGCTTGGAAAGTGTTCAAAACCCATTCTTCTTACAAAATTCATAAGGCAGAGCCATCTGCCTGGCAGCCAGCTCTCCAGCTCCCATCCCTGCTTCTTGCTGGATTTTCCCTGCTGCCTGTGAATGGCATGAGTCTGCCTCCCAACTGCCCAAAGCCAGGTCCAAAATGAGGGAGGGGTGAAAATAGCTGTCCTGAGCCTGACTGAAGGTACGGGGATGGTGGGACAGGATTTTCAGGTGCTGATAAAATGATAAATACGACTGATAAATACCACTGATAAATATGAGCTGCGAGAATAAAATACCTTCTATACAGGCACCAGCTCTTAGGACCCCAGGAAACAAGACGGGATTTCTAACCCAATCTGTACAATGAATTTGTCCCTTCAATGCATCGCTTAAACCCTGACAGTGTGTGGCAAGTCCACAACCTCACGACTGTTTATTTAAATAAATTTTAAAAAATTGTTAGGTGCAGACCATGACTTAAGTAATGTTAAGTTAATAATTCATGCGGTATTTATCATTGATGGGGGATTTAACAGGAGCGGAGCCGTAAGTGGCTTTCTATTAACTATTGATGCTCTCCGCCAGCCGCTCAACAAGCACGGCTGGGCTCTGCGATCACAGCTCTCCTGCGATGTTTTATTTAAGCGCTGTTAAGAGTACACACAGTCTGGGTGAACGCCTCTGCTCCCGGGGAACGCCGCGGCAGCCCCTGGCTCCCAATGCGGCCGTGCCGCCATAGGCTCACAGAGCCCCGGTTCCCGCAGAGCAATCGCCCTGACCAGCTGCCAGGGGCTGGCGGGGAGAAACCCAGGGCTGGTGTGATGTGTTTGGGGGAGCTCACCCACTGCAGGGCTGCCTGGCTCCTTCCTCCTGCACCCGCTGCAGCAGATGCCAGAGAACCCCAAATGTCTGGGTGTCTGGATAAAGCCAGACCCCTCAGTATTGGCTTACAAGTTTGTCTGTTTATGGGGTTTTGTGTCTTATTCCAGGGAGGTGCCTCTAAAATCCCTTTCAGTCTTCCTTGCAAACTTCATTTGTGGGAACAGAAGTGTGCTAAGAAGACCAAGTATCTTGCTACACTCATCATTCCCATCCCCATATGAAACATTCAAAAAGCTTCTAAAAATATATGCACAAATACAAAAATACAGTTAAAAGAACCCACCCATATCCTAACAGACAGCGCATCTGTGTTCCAAAACATCGCATTTATAACAAAGCTGCAATAAACACACAGTTATCATAGCAACTGAAGCCGTGTCTCGCTCGGCACCCGCAGGGAAAGCAGGGGATCCGGCCCCAGGGTGGGTTGCTGCAAGCCTGGTGGGCAGCCCTGCAGCCCAGGGAGCCGCTCGGCATGCCCGGGGCTGGAGGGCACACAGAGCGCACCCAGCAGAGCATCTCATTTTAAAATCTCACACCTCCGAAGAGCATCGATGGCTGCACGACTCCAACCCAGCGGGGAGACTCGTTTTCTGCCTGGGGGAGGGTGTCCGGCAGCCAGAGCTGCGCACAAGCTCATAGGATTCAGGCTGGCAGAGCAAGGACAAAGCCTGTTCATGGCTCAGGCAGGGGATGTGGAATAATTCACACTAAAGCACCATTTCCCTTCAGAAAGGCTGGCAGCCTCAGGGTGAAATAAATGCTCAAATCTCCTTGATTGTTAAATAAAAGATTATTGATAAAATAACTGCTTCTAATGTGGCTGGGGGGGCCGCGGGGGGGGAAAAA